GATCCCTGCCCCCTCAGGCCCTCCAGGGGGTTTCCTCCCTCCCCGCTCATGCGCCTCTATTTGGACCTCACATGGCCCTTCCTGCTTGGGGAACCACCCTTCCCACAGCCCCCACCTGGGGGGCCCCAAATTCAACCCCAGGCACTCCGGGGCTGCCATTTAAAGGGAGAATATCCCCAAACTGCCCTTGAAATGTGGTAAAAATAAAACAGAGCGGACACTCAACACAACAAAAATGAAACCCTGGGAACAGGAGGGTCTAGGGTGTGGGGTTTTCTTGACAAAATATAATGTGGGCAGCCAGTGTTGGCAGCCAAAGCTGGCGTGTGAATTCTGCCTCTCTGTGAAACCCCATAGCCTGGAACCCCTGTTCTGGTTCACCTAGCCTACTGTGCAGATGGGGAAACTGAGGCCAGGGGTGATCAGGGATGCACCCAAGGTCAGGGAGCGAACACCCAAACCAGGGGTCCAAGTCCTTCATTCCATAACTGCTGGTTGAGTGCCATCTGTGTGCCAGGCAACCGGGACCCAGCCATGAACACACACCTCTGGCCTGGCTCCCTCTGAACTCCCAGTCTAGGTGGGAGTTGGCACCTAGGTGCCAACTAGATGGCAGCTGAGTAAATCAGCTTTGACAGGAGCACATGGGAGCCCAGAGGAGGCACCTGTCCTAGACTGGCAGTCTGGGAGGACTTCCTGGAAGTGGTGTCTAAGCTGAGTCCTAAAAGCTGGATTGGAAAGGTACCCCCAGCAAGGGGTGCAGTGTTCCAGTGTGAGCAAGTGTGCAGGTGGGTGGAGGGAAGGGCCAACTGATGGACCAAGAGGTTTTTTATCTCTGTGTCCTAAGGGCAACTGACACTGGAGGAGAGCTCAGAGCAGGGAAGGAGATGCTGGTTAGCAGGACCCCTGGGCAGCTGTAGAGGTGAGACTGGAGGCATGGAGGCTGGTGAGGTCTGATGAGCAGGGGCCCAAGGTGGCAGAAGCAGCCGGGCCCTCTGTCAGCCTAAGAACAGCTGCTACTGACTTTTCTCCACAAGGACAGGAAGAGATGAGGAAAGGTAGATGGGCGGGGGTGACAGGGGGCGGCTGCAGGCAGGCCTAACTTCCCCACACCTTCCGCCCTTGCAGCTGAATAGCTCTGCCACCCTGGGTCCTGCAGTGGGACTACTGGGGCTGCCAAAGAGGGGCGCCAGGCCTCCCCGGGCCGGGACACGCTGCAAGGTGGCCGGCTGGGGCTCCGTGTCCAACTTCGAGGAACTGCCCCCTGGGCTGATGGAAGCCGAGGTCCGCGTGCTGGGGCTGGACGCCTGCAACAGTTCCTGGAAGGGGCAGCTGAGCCCTGCCATGCTCTGCACCCACAGTGGGGACCGCTGGCGACGTGGCTTCTGCTCGGTGAGATGTTCACTCTCAGTCCTGCCTGCTTGCCGTGTGGGGAAACTGAGGCCCTCAGAGAGGTCAGAGCTTGTCAGAGAGCCTTGGCAACTAAGTCCAAGCTCACCTTTGACCAGTTGGTGAGGCCTGGGAAGGGGAGGAAGCCCCCAAGGTCACAGGGCTGCCATGTATGGCTGCACAGGTTGTGCACCGCACAAAGGACTACAGATTTGTGTCTTTAAAAGCAGTGTCCAGATCTCAAGGAAGACGCTTCTGCTCCTAAGTCTTTGTGTGGATTAATGGCAAACCTGGCCCTGATGCCCAGGGAGAAACACAGCCTGGATTGGGAGCAGGGGAGTGTCTTTTTTTCTAGCCAAGAGAATGCATGGTTCAGATTCTAGAGCCCAACTGCCCGGGTCCACATCCAGACTGAGCCACTTCCTATACATGTGGTCTTGGAAAGGTCATCTCACTTCTCAGGACCTCACTTTCTCCATCTGTAAAATGGTCACACCAATAGGACATATTTCTTTGGGCCAGAGCTGATTCCAGGTGAAAATTAGGGTGATAAGTCTGGGGAGAGGAGGAAGCAGGGATTTTAGGGTGAGTATTCAGGAAGGCCTCTCTGATGACAGTACTTTCGAGACTTGGAGGAGCCTTGAGAATATCTGAGGGGAGACATGCCAGGCCGAGAGACCATCGCACAGGTTGTACATTGCACAAGGAGCTGTACACTTGTGTGGTATACAAGGGGTGTCCAGCAGGGGGCAGTAATGGGCCTCGAGGATATGCAAAAGCCTAGAGGTTGGAGTTTGGGCTTCCCAGGTGGCGCTTGTGGTAAAGAACTCCCCTGCCAATGCAGGAGATGTAAGAGACGTGGTGGCTTCGATCCCTGGGTCAGGAAGATCCCCTGGAGGAGGGCACAGCAACCCACTCCAGTATTCTTTCCTGGAGAATCTCATGGACAGAGGAGCTTGGAGAGGTATAGTCCATAGGGTCGTGAAGAGTTGGACGCGGCTGAAGCAACTTAGCACACAGAGGTGGGAGCTCGGTTTGCTGCAGGAACAGCTGGCCTGTCTGGCTGGAACTAAGTGAGTTGGGGGAGAGGAGGGCAGACAAGCGGTGGGGGCTGGCTCCTCCAGGCCCTAAAGGCTGAGACGACGTGTTTAGTCTTTGCTCTAAGAGCACTGGGGAGCCATGGTCCCTGCCCAGGCTCTAGGGAGTGTCCATGGGACATAAAAGGGTTTTGAGGTAGAGAAGGTCCAGATTAGATCTACACATATTAGCTCCTTTAAGGAAAGTGAGGCCCAGCAAGAGACCCCTGACCTCACCTTTGCCTCCACCCCCAGGCGGATTCTGGAGGACCCCTGGTATGCAGAAATCGGGCTTATGGCCTCGTCTCCTTCTCTGGCCTCTGGTGCGGGGATCCCAAGATGCCCGACGTGTACACACAGGTGTCCGCTTTCGTGACTTGGATCTGGGATGTGATTTGGCATGGCCCCCAGCCCAGGACCACTGGGGGTCAGCAGGTGTTGTCTGAACCACAGCAGCACCAGGTACATCACCGAGATGGCAAACGATACAAATAGCTCCGGCCTGGAAAACTCTGAGGCTGGAGTAGAGGGTCCATGAGCCCCTAAACCCCAAGAAGCCTGGTGTCAGGGTGGGTAGGGGGCGTCAGTTCCCAACAAAAGGGCAAAATAACAATAAAGTGTTAACTGACTCACAGATATGATGGTCTGCTCTAAGGCCCACCCACATGCCCTTCAGCTTCTCCTTGGCCTCCAAGTGGTCAATGGTCCAGCTCCGCCACCCCCTCCCTGAGAGACCCTGAGCCACAGGACCCTGAGCCATGGACTCCTCACCATCCTCCCTCCCCCTCCCCACGCTGACCCCCCTGGAGTTTCCCATCCCCGCCTCACAGCCCAGGCTGGGGACAGTCTCCTGGCCTCCTTGGCCCCTGCCTAGAACGCCATTCCTCTGCCCTCCGGCCAGACCCCTTCACAGATGGAGAAACCAAGGCTGAGAGAGAGTGGGGTCTCAGGTTGGCCTAACTCCGTGTGAAGCCTGATCCTCAAAAAGCACTTCAGGCAAATGGTGCCCAGCGGGTGGCAAGGCTGGGTGAGCCCCAGCCAGTGCTTTCACTAATCATGTCAGTGTCATTAGGGCACATCCAACCCTTCCAGGCCAGACCACCATTTCTAGACCCTAAACCAAGTGGTCTCTTGGGGCTTCCCTAAGTCATCCAGACCCTGTTCCTTTCCTCCCCTACCCCATAAAGGCCAAGACTCTCCCACCCAACCCCATGACACCTGTCTCAGTTCTATGCCTGCTACTGCCCACAACTAAAGCTGGATGCTGAGGCCCAGAAGTAGGCAGCACCTGCCCCAAAGACATGCACTTGTATCTCTCCTGGATGCTTCCAGAAACCCCCACAGCACCCTAGGCTGGTAACCCCCTCCCAAAGTGGGGAGACACAAAGGTTCAAAGAGAGGGGAGCAAACCAAGGTCTGTAACACCCACAGTGGCTTTTTCAGTGTTTATTTCTTTGGCAGGTGAGGCAGGACCCCAGGGCAGGGGAGATTGCCCTGTTGGTGGGCTCAGGTGAACCCATTACTAAAGGGCACTTTTCTGGGTGTCACAGGTAAGGCACTTCCTGGAGGCAGGGAAGGACATGGATGAGCACCACTGCCTTGGGGAGCTGTGCTCCTGCCCCGCTGGATGCCCCTCCCCCTCTGGGTCTGCACCTCTGGTCTACAGATGGGCATGGGGAGGTGACACAGAGCAACAGTTCAGGTGGCAGGAGGAAACCCAGTTGGCAGGCAAGGAGGGTTCAGCTGGGAACTGGGCCTAGAGGCATGGCCAGGGCAAGATACAGGGAACGCCACCTGTGGATGGGGTAGCAGGCACGGGGGTGCCCCTCAGACACATGGCTCCGGGATGCCAGGTGTACAGTGGGTCTTGGCATATACGCCCCACCCTGGGCCAGTGGGTGAGCAGGGCCTCGCAGGCCCCACCGGGTCCCTCCCACCCTACGTGGTGCCTGCTTTGTTCTAGCAGATGTCTCTCCACACCCAAGGCCTGGGTCAGGAGGCACAGATGGCACCCCCCATCCCCCAGGGACATGTTGGGAAATGGGTGAGGCAGGGGGAAGGTAAGTCCCTTGGTCACCCTGGGGCTGGTGGTGGACAGTGGTTGCTTCCTTGATCTGTCTGCAGTCTGGGCATGTTCTGAAGCTCATCTATTCACACCCAGGCTGTGAACCCCCTCTCACCCCCTGGTCTCTGTTCTAGAAGGCCAGGGTACCTCCTCATTAATTGCTGGCAGGAAATCCCCAGACCTCTAGGGTGGCAGCGACAATTAACAGAGAGATCCCCGAGGGAGGTCCTCCTGGGCAATAGGGTACCTGGGGTGGGGACTGCAGGGGCTGGGCGCCCACCCACCAGGCCTGCTCCCAGGCTTCTTTTCCCCAGTCCTTCCAAGATATCGTCGAGGGGCACCAGGGCTCCCACAGTGGTCCCTGTCCAGGTTCTGGGGAGTGTCCATTGGACATAAATAGACTCTGCTGTGGCAATAAATAAAATGGGGAAGGCTTGAACGCCAGGCCCAGGCCGGTCCCGCAGGCTCACACAAAGTTCTCCTCCTCCTCCTCGGACTCAGGATCTAACGGCTCGGGGGTGCCTGTAGAGTGGGAGGGACCAAAAGAGAAATGCGGGCGCGGAGAGGGGCTGGGGGCTAGACCCCGCCGCTGCTCCCCACCGCGTGCCGCACCTGCACAGCTGCCCGGGTGGCGCACGCCGATGGAGCGGCCCAGGAAGCAGGTGGCCTGACGGAGATGGCAGGAGGACAGGTAGGTGACGTTGTTGTTGCCACAGAGTTCCTGGCCGGGGCTGGATGGTGCGGGGCAGGGCGCCGCGCGACACACCACGCAGTGCGCGCTGCCAGTCTGGTCCACCACACACGACTGTGGCCGCAGGCAAACCACGTGGGCACAAGATTCTGCAGGTGGGGCGTGGGGACGGGTAAAGAGCGCTACTCCGGACGGGCGGGGCCTTCAGGCCCCTCCCCCTCGCTGCACCAAAGCCACACCCCTTCAAATGCCCCGCCCATTCACTGGTCCCACCTTTAGACCCGCCCCTGGTTGCACCGAAGTCACACCCCTTCCACGAACCACGCCACGCCCCAGATCTACCATCACTCTCTCCCCACTTTGCACCAATAAGCTCCTCTGACTCACATACTCGTATATCTCAACCCATAGGGGCCCCAGAAGCCCCCTTTTCAAACTTGCACCCTACTCGTCCCCATCCCCGATCCCACAAAAGACCTGATCTCGTGATACTCTCTTGGGACTATAGGCCCCACCCACGAGCTCATACCTATGCCCCGCCCACCATGGGGCCGCACCCAAATCCACGAGACCTATAATAAGCACCCGGGATTGTAGACCCCGCCCCTTCCTGCCAGTGACCCACCCCCACGCGCTGAGGTAGCGGCCTCTAACAGGATGCTCAGGCCCGGTGGCCCCGCCCCTCCCCAAGGCTCCGCCCCAACGTACTGCGGCAGCGACCCCGGTACATCACGCGCAGGTCCGGGTGGCCGCGACAGCGCGCGGCGCGCAGCTCGCACTCGTCGCGGTAGGTGGCGCCGTCAGAACCGCAGACCTGCAGGCGCGCCGGGAGCCCGGTGCAATCGGGCGCGCACTCGCAGCGCGGACGGCCCCCCAGCATGCGGCAGGCCTTGCCAGGGCCGCACTCCACGCCCTCGCACGAATCTGTGGACAGAGGACACGCACGCGTGGGCTGCGGCGCGTGGCCGAGGCCGGAGGTCCTCCGAGGCCCAGCGCCCTCGCTCCCTGTTCCGACGGATAAAGGCCGGACCGGAGTGAGGGGCGGTCCGAAGAAGGGGCCCACGGGGAGGGAACTGATTTGGGGTCTGGGGGAGTTTCAGCCACTCCGGGGTGGACTAGGACTCGACGCTTTTCATGGGACGGGCCTCTGTCGGGGTGCAGGGCTCAGTGTGGGCGGAAGCGAGGGGTCTCTGCTGGGAATCTGGGGGTCTGGGAGGAACAGGCTTCACCCCAAGTCCGGCTTTCGCTCCGCAGCTGGGCCACCCGCTCGGGCTGACGTCTGTTCCCTGATTTACGCGCGTTTCTGGGAAGGCCGGCGGGGGACCGGCTGCGTCAGCCCGGGGGGCTCCACCCCGTTCAGGCGCGGGGTTGAGGAGGATGGGCAGCGTCTGTTCCTCCCGCCTGCCAGGACCTCCCCTGAGGAGGCGTCGGGGAGGGCGGGGCGTTGGCCTGGTCTGCGGTTCATTTCCTGAGGAGGGGGCCTCACACAGCTCGAGCCCTCCAAACAGGGGTTACCGCCTTCCGCAGCCCCATTTCTCAGGTAGGGAAATAAATCTCTCTCTGGCGTCCTCGCCCCAACTCCGGCCCCACGAAAGGCTGCTTTTAGCCTCCCAGGCCCAGTACAGCCTCCCACCTGCCCCCACAAGGTGGTGCCCTTTTGTCATCATTTTACCAAAGGGGCCTCCCAGGTGGCGCTAGTGGTAAAGAAACTGCCTGCCAACGCTGGAGACAAAGACAGGAGATGCAGGTTTGATCCCTGGGTCGGGAAGATCCCTTGGAGTAGGAAATGGCCATCCACTCCAGTGTTCTTGCCTGGAGAATCCCATGGACAGAGGAGTTTGGCGGGCTACAGACCACAAGGCCACAGAGTCCGACATAATTGAGCAACTGAGCAAATACATATATATATACACCAAAGGGGGAAACAGGCCCCATCACAGCTGTGAGTTGAGGAGAGCCAGGGCACCTAGGTGTGAGAACTCCAGGCCAGATCAAATGGACCCCCAGCTCCATGGTTTGTGGGTCTGGGTCTGTCTCTGAGCTCGAGTTGACGTTTCGGCCTCATTTGCCTTGAGTGTAACAGTGGGGCTGATCGGGAACTCCACCCTACAGAGTGAGCATACAGTGATGGAAGCTCCTTTAGAGGCCAGCCAGAGCCCCTCATGTCTCCCTGCCAGGGCATGTGGACTGCACCTGGGTGCCTCCCGTGCTGCCCGCCCACACGCACATCTGGAAACGCTCCCCGGGGTGGCTTCACGCACGCTAGAACACAAGTGGCAGGGCTGAGTTCCTGTCGCCAGGGCCAGATGAGGTGGGGGGAGGGCATCCTGGACCATGTCAGGCCCGGGCCAGGCACTTTTTGAAGTCTGTCCTCCTCCCAAAACCCAGAGGGGCTTCTGGAGGGAGCCAGGGCACATGGCAGTTGAGTTCAGGACCACCCAGCCAGGCTGATCTGGTATTAATCACATCCCAGCCGGCCAGCCAGGCTCCTCGGCTTGGCCTGCAGGTCTGGAGCCCTCAGCTCCAGCTTCCATCCGGCACCCCTGTCCTGACTCCACCCACCTGGGTCTGATCCCAGGCCATGGTCTCTGCTCATGCTCCCTCCTCCCCACCCACCCCACCATGGTCTCTCCAGCTGGCAAACTCCTAATCATCCAACAACAGCCTGGTTTCCAGAGCCCACCTCCTTCAAGTCATGTCCCCATGCGCCCTCTGGGTCCTTGCAGGTTCAGTCTTGCACAGGGGGCTGAGAGGGTCTCCAACGAGACTATGTCTTGACTTATTTATTCATTCATTGTGCCTTAAAAGAGCTCCTAGTCTGATGGAGGAGGCAGCATTTAACAGAACACAGTCCAGAAGGCAAATGCTTGTTAAACATACAGCTGTGGCCCTAACCACAGACCCTGGAATCTGCGAGGTTAAGGGCAGATGAGTGTTTGGGAACACTGAGTGTGGGGTCACAAACCCTAACGGCCAGTCAGGGAGAATCCACCTTTCTAGGAGCTAGGTGTGCCTGTCTGTCCACCATGTGGAGTGAAGGTGGGCAAGGCCGCCCAGGCAGAGGGCTCCTCCCAAGTGAGACCCTAGAGGCTGGACCGAACTGGGGAATCCTCCCTGCAGGAGGCTGAGGCCTGAGAGCCCGAAGGCCCCCAAACCCTCTCTGAGTCTGGGATCCCCTTGCCAGCAGCCTCAACCTCCTGTATGCCCCCAAGACAGGAAGCTCATTCTTGCCTGTGCCTCCTCTGACCAAGAGCCCATGGCCTTCTGCTGACGCACAGGGTCTCACCTTTGCAGGGGAGGCAGTGGACGAGGCCTAGGAAGCCCAGGAGGCTGATCTTGTTCCCCGGGTGCGTGAAGTTGGACCAGGCAGTGTCGATGTTGCCAGAGGCACAGCACTCAGCCTGGCTCACATCCGTCTTCAGCACCAGGCTGCAGGTGGCCTCTCGGCCCTGCTGGAGCCAGCAGACACCACCTGCGGAGAGAGGGGCAGTTCCTATGGGGCCAGGGATGCCCCCAGGTGCTCCTGCCCACACCCAAGCCTTGGCCTGCCAGCCAGCTGCTGGCCCATGGGGATGCATACAGTCGGTGCTCAGTAACTGCAAAGGGGATGATCCACCTCCCACCTGGGTGGGATAGAGAACCACACAGGTGTCCCGGCTCCAGCTGCAGATTCTTCTAGGATCCTTCCTCTCTGGGCTCTGGCCCCCACACGGCTCTACTGCCAACCCCCTCCCCTCCCGGCGAGCTCTCCCCATGGCTCCAGGCCCCCAGCCCAGGCCTGGCATCCTGCCTGACCAGTCAAACACCAGGAGCTGGACGTGTCAGGGTCAGTGGGCCCTAGAGCCGCCTCTCCCGCCTCTGCCCTCTGTCTAGACAGCGCCCGAGGGCACGCGGAGCCCCCTCGCCCGGCAGCCCCCCCTCGCCTGGCCCGCCTCTTACTCACTCCAACTTGGGAACATTCCCCTTGCATGAGCTCACTGTCTCCCCGGGGACGCGGCCTTCGGGGAGGGGGCTTGGCTCTCCCCTCAGTGCAGGGTTGGGGTGGGGCTGCAGGGTGGGGTTGGGGGGGGGGCAGATGGCCCTCAGTTTCTGCACCGTTAAGTGGGGGCAGGAGTGGCCAGGGCCCCCATCCCAGGGAGCTCCCAGGCACTGTGCTGAGCTCCGCGGGACCAGCTCAGTTCGGGGAGCTCGGCATCTTTGCTCCCCTTATAAAAGGGGAAACTGAGGCCCAGAGTGGGGGTGTGACTTCCCTGGCGTCTCCACAACTGGCAGGTATGAGATTCTAACAAGTCTGCCTGCGCCAGACCCAGGGAAGATCTGAGATCCCGGGTGCGGATCCTGAGTCCAACCACCCAGCCCTGCCTCTCTGGGACACTGGGACCCAGAAAGTCCAGGTTCATATCTGCTTTGCCCCGTACAAGCTGTCTGACCCTGTGCCTCAGTTTCCCCATCTAGAAACCGGGCATAAGAGTGCTCACACTGTAGGGCTGCTGCGTGGATTCCAGGAGGGAGGCGGCAGACCCTGAGCACTCAGTAACTGTCAGCAACCCTGGGGACTAGTTCATGATAATAAATTGTGAGGAGTCACATCTGCTCGCCTGACCTCTTGGTGACCCTCCTTTAAGTCTTTTAGGGCTGGGGGAGGGGAGCCCCAAGCATTCCCGCATTCAACCTGCAGCGACCACGGGTCACCACGGGTCACTGCTCTCTGCCCCCAGCTGCCACTGCCGCTGCGCCCCCCTACCTGTCCCCCGGCCCGCATTCCCGGCGGGCCCACGTGGGTGGCCCGCCCCGCCCGTCCCTTCCGGCCGCCCCACTCACCGGGCGCGGGGTCCCCCGAACCCACGGAGCCCACGAAGCCCACGGCCCACGCCAGGGCCCCCCAGGGCAGCGGCCACAGTGGCCCTGGCGCCCGGGGACGCATGGCGAATGCAGACACGGCGGCGACCCCCGCGTCGGACGCGCGGGCGGCTGGCGGGCGGTGGCCAGTGAGCCACGAAGAGTGCATCTAAGGAGCCTTGCGCATCGTGGTCTGCATGTGATGGCTGGCGCGGCCCCAGTGTGCTCTGGGCTCCTAGCCTGACCTTCCCGTCCCCTCCCAGACACCCGGGGACCTCAGCCCCAGCCACTCCCTAATCCAACCCTCCAGGCCACCCGCCTGGCCACCTGGCCCCTGGAGCCGGTGGGCACAGCTGGGTGTGAGCACGTGGCGGGGAGGGGCTGTGGAGAGGAGACAGATGCAGACACACCCTTGGTCCCAACAACATGCCAACAGCAATAATCATACCGCAAATCTTCCAGAGTGCCTACTGTGTGCCTGGCCTTTGCCCCCCTCCTACCCTGAGCCTGCAGCAACCCCTCAGGTGGCCTGAACAGCCTGCCTGCTCCTCTCCTCCAAGGGTCAGTGCTCTCTGTCCTTTGCCACCTGGAATCCTGGTTTCCCAAAATGTGCAATGGGCTGGGAAGCACACAGACTCCTGGGGCCTCAGTGCAGCAGGATGCTTTTCCTACTCTGGGCAGATCCCTTCAGTCTTCGGGGCCCCAGAAAATTGTCAGGGCACCTCCACATCTCATGGACCCTGTGCAACCCCTCTACACAGTTTGTGTTTCTGGGGAATAATTAGTGACGGTATCCTGGAGGCAAGGACCTTTGGGGGTGCTGGGGCAACAGGTTGACTAAGGCAGACCTACTCCTGTCCTCAGTGAGCCCGTCTGATCTGCCCAAGTCATAGACAACAAAACACATAGACAGACAAACTAATGTGTAACTTTAAGAAGTGGAAAATGCTTTTAAGAAAAACCAACAATTGAGAGCTGTTGGTTCTCTCCCAGGGCCTCCTATGCTTCATTGCCCCCCATTCCTAAATCTACCCCCTCCCCAGGTGTAGAAGCAGGACCCCTAAAGCCAAACCCCTCTTCTGCATGCACGAGATCTTCTGTGGGCCAACACCATGCCCAGACCCTGTCCTCCACCTTAGCTGCCCGGCCTGACCCATGTCTCCCAGCCAATGCCAGGGGACACATTACTTCAGAGCAGCACTGAGGGAGGCCACCAGCGGTCTTGACCTGGCCTTGGCCTCTGACCGTCCAAGGGGGTTCTCTCCTCGTTGGGAAATGGGGCAGGAATGAGACCCCGTGTTCTCACCAAGGGTGTGCGGGGGCTGCACAGGGTGACCTTGGCCGAGACCTGACCCTTCCATGGCTCAGCCACCCAGTCCTGAGTTGTGCAAATAAAAGGGCCATTGTTGGCCTGGCGTGGGTTCGAAACCGAGGCCAGCAGCCCGTGGCCTTCTGCTTCCCAGGCTGGCGTGTCTCCCCAACCCAGAAGCTCTGTACTTCATGACCTTAAGGAGGTCACGGCCCTCTTTGCGGAACCCCTCTTTCCAGTATCTCCCTTTGTGCCCTCTTCTCTACCCTGTCCCAGCCTGCAGCAGCTTCCTACCCTAGCTGCCTGCCCTAAGGTTTTCTGGCCCACACCCATCCTAACTCCCCACGGTCCCAACTTACCACCCCCAGGGAAACTTACAGAGACAATCTGCTAATCAGATCTGTGATGGAAGATGCCAACCTGACCCAGCCCAGGGAGACAGGGCAGACTTCTCAGAAGGAGAGAATGTTTAATGTTGAGTTAGATTGAACGGTATGAGGGAAGGGGGGATGGAAACTGAAGTCATGGGATGTTTGTGCTACAAGTAAGAGAAAGCCTGAATACAGCCCTCTGAGACAAGTGGGTTCGCAGACCCTGTGACTATGTCACCTTCCATGGCAAAAGGACTTTGCACATAGGAGTAAGTTGAGGCCCTTCAGATGGGAGATGATCCTGGGTTAACCAAGTGGGCCCAGTGTAATGACAGCATCCTTTAAAGTGGAGACCTTCCCCACTGTGGTCGGAGAGATGCAACATTAGGAGGACTGGACCTGCTGTTTTTGGCTTTGAAGATGGAGGAAGGGTCCTCCAGCCAAGGAATGTGGGCAGCCTCCAGAAGCTGGAAAGGGCAAGGAACAGATTCTCCCTTGGAGCCTCTGGAGAAGAACACACTCTGCCAATACCTTGATTTAAGCTCAGAGAGACCTGTGTTGGACTTCTGACCTCCGGAACTGGAAGAGAAAAAAATATGTGTTGTTTTAAGCCACCAAGTTTGCGTCGATTTGTGACAGCTGCTAATACAGAGGGGTTCAGTGTCGCAATGATACGGTCCCTACCTGACTGGAGAAAAACAAGGGGGTGAACACACATGTGTGAAGACAGTGGAGGACAGAGACCCTGGGAGCAGGGAGGTTGTGGAATCTCCGAGGAGGTGACTCTAAGGCCTGGAGGGAGGAGGAGGCGTCATGTGGAAGTGCAGTCCAGTCTGTGCCACCCTGACCAGGCCACATGTGACCACTCTGTGCCTCTATGCTCTCAACTGTAAAATGGGCACAGATCCCAGTACTGCAGATTCCAGTCAGGATGCCAGGCACAGTGCTTGGTGCACGGGAGGGGCGTGACATGGGTACAGAGATTCTTATTACTTAAGGAATAGGCAAGTATTTTACCATTCATCACAAGGCAGGCATCCACTTTACAGAGGGGTCAACTGAAGTCGGAGAAAGGAAAGTGAATTTCTGGGGGTCTCAAAGCCCCACAGGGTCAGGAATGGAGTCAGTACCAGGCAAACAAGATTCCAGGACCCGAGCAATCAGGGTGCATCCCCAGATTGTGGGACTCCTCAGGTCCCAGAGCCAGGTTTTCCTTTGGGGAATCACCTCCTGTACTCCCAACTCAAAAGCCCCCAAGAGTGGCCCCAACCCAGGCCTGACCACTTAAGAGTCATCTGACATTTAGCAACAGGAAGAGTCAGCTCTGAGACATTAGCTTGAAAAGGACCACCCACTTCTTGCCTGAGCTGGAGGGGTGTGAGCCTGGGGCTGCAGATGGCTTCTGCCAATGTCCAGGGAGAGGCCAGCTCAGTGGGACACTGAACCAAGAGAGGCAGCAGTAATGCCCTGTGGTCTTATTGGAGGTCCTTGATCCAGCTGTGCCTGAACTCCTCTTCCCCATAAAATAAAGCTGATCTAAGCAGCATTTCTGTCACTCCCAGGGAACAAAACCAGCTTACAATAATCCTGCTTATATTTTATTCAAGCAAGGGCTTTAGAACCCAGAGCAGCAGGTTCTGTAGGGGCTGTGGGAATCACACCATGCTGCTGTACCAACCACTGCCTCCAGGATGGCCTGGTAAAGAACACTTGGTCACTGGATCCCACATTACTCAAGCCAGAAGAATGCTTGTGATAGACCCCACATCACCTTAGCCTGTGCAACCCTTGGACTAGACCTGAAACTCTGCAGTCTGTGGGAAGCAAGGTCTTGCTAGTTCCTTAGTGGGACATATGATGACAACCAAGGGCTTTCCTGGTGACTCAGACAGTAAAGAATCTGCCTGCAATACAGGAGCCCTGGCTTTGATCCCTAGGTAGGAAAGATTCCCTGAAGAAGGAAATGGCAACCTACTCCAGTATTCTTGCCTGGAGAACCCCATGGACAGAGGAGCCTGGAGGGTTATAGTCCATAGGGTCACAAAGAATTGGACACAACTGAGCGACTAATACTTCACACAAGACAACACTGAAGACTCGGCCATGGCAGATAGCATGGGAGAACTCTGAATAGAGCTGGGTATTGTAACGTCCAAAACGTGCGTATGGTCCCTGCTCTAAATGCCACCCAGGGCTCCCCATAGCCTCTGGATGGAGTCCAAGCTTGCCGGCCTAGGTTTGAAGCCCTTCCTTCAGAGACTACTCAATTCTTGCCACTTCCCTTAGCTACTTTCCCACGTTGCCCCCAAATGTCCCCATGCCATCCTCTTTCCTATGAAAGAACAATAGGATTTTTCGCAGGAATCTGGCGGCCACGTTTGACGCAGAAGGCCGGACCTGCCCTCAGCTTGGAGGCGAATCCTGATTGGATGAACAGGATTGAAGTGATGTCAGGCACAACCATGTGATCCAGCTCTGGCCAATGGTAGGAGGGACAGCCTACTGGGACGAGGCTTCAGGGAAACACGGGAATGCTCAGCATGCCTGTGTCTGGAGGTGACCGTGTAATAGCTTGACGTATGAGTTTCCTGTTTGCTGCTTTAACAAAGTGTTGTAAATTTAGCTGCTTAAAATAGCACAGACTTATTATTTACTGTTCTGGAAATCAGCAGTCTGACAGGAGTCTTACTGAGCTAAAATATCAAACGTATATGGGGGCCTTTATTCTGCACATCACAGTGCTTAATATTGTTGAGTGTCTGACTTTGCCGACATTTGTTGCCGTATCCCAGATGTGTTCTTGCGCCTGGCACACGGTCGATACCAGCATCTGTGATTGAGGGATTGCGTGGTGATCTCGATCCCTGCCAGGCTGAGAGGTGGTGCGACCCCACCTCCTTTGAGGGAGGCAGAGCTTGATAAAGCTATGAAAGCTTAATTACCCAATTTGGTAAACATGTTGCTGCTTCAGATAAGAGAGTGGCCTAACTTTAGAAGTACACCTGGTCGTGCTTGGGATAAAGAGGCTGGGGGCAGCAAGTTTGCCCAAAATTCCACACAGACACACAGAGAGAGCAAAAAAAGTTTGCCACTGGCGTGCCCAAGTCAAGGATGCGTGGGACCCTTTGTACTATTCTTGAAACACTTCTGGAAGTTAGAAATTATTTAAAATAACAACTTTTGAGCAGCATTCAAGAGAGGTTGCTCAAGAGAGAGGATGGAGGCATCCATCCCCCCCACTGGCTTCACAGGTCCTGGTCCTGACGACTTAGTCCTGAAAGATTCCTTGAGCCGGTGGAAATGAAGGAAGTTTGACCTAAGAGGATGGTGACTTGACCCCAGGAGAATAGATTGAAGGACATCTGAGGTTCTGGGGCTGCCAGGTCCTGGGTATGGGTGACTCAGGGGTCTAAAGTAAAAAATACAAAACACAAACCAACAAATACAAATAATACAAAGGACAAAGTCAAAATATGTAAATAAAAGGTTGAAAAGCAAGTAAAAAAAAAAATGCTTAAGCAGATAGCAGTGTATTCATGCCTGTTGAAATAATGCCCAGTGGGGCGGTGGCCTCCCTAGAAGTGGGTGACAGAACTGCTTTCTCCAGCTCTAGAGTTCCCAAAACTCCCTCCCAGAGGCTGGATTTGAACCCAAGTCAGTAACTAGGGGGTGAAATGGTCCTGTCCGGAGAGGTTACCTCCTAATCCACTTTCAAAGACTATTCAAGAAAATGCTGAGAACCCATCAGGAGGCACCCCACAATCAGAGAGCCCTGGGCTGGCCAGGTCTCCCGTCACACATCTGTCCTATCAGTGGCAGCAGCCAGATGGCCACTGGTCATAAATGGATGCCTGAGGCCCCAGAACCTCAGGACCTCTGGATCACATGCAGATACTGGCCTGATTACTTGAATTTGGATATCCCAGTCCCAGGGCATCCAGCGGGGCAAGGAGCTGAGACCCAGAGGTCCAATGATTGTGTCTGCTGTGTGACCATGTTTGAGCCTCAGTCTCCTGCAATGCAGGAGACCTGGGTTTGATCCTGGGTTGGGAAGATCCCCTGGAGAAGGGAAAGGCTAACCATTTCAGTATTCTGGCCTGGAGAATTCCATGGAGCCTATAGTCCATGGGCTTGCCAAAAGTCAAACAGGAGTGAGTGACTTTCACTTTCACCTTCTCATCTGTAAAACAGGAGTCTTCATTGCTCCCACATCCTGGTGCTTGTGTGAGGATTAAACATCTGGCTGGCACATCTTAAGCACTTAGTTTTATGATACAAAACTTCATATTCTTGTTCCCATTGCATTCCCAGCACCCTACTTGGGCCTGGTACACAGCAGGCACTCACTAATTATTTTTTTATTCAAGAATCTATTGAGCACCTACTATATTCTGGGTATTGGCTTCACATATTGGGAGATACCACTGATAACTCCTGGATCTGGGGGTGGCTGAGTTGGGGAAAGAGGGAAGAGGGCACTGGGATCCCCCAGGACAGGATCAGAGCAGCCTTCTGAGAAACAGCAAAAGAGAAAGGATGGTGGGAATGGCACTCCCAGCAGAAGGTGTGACCAGGCAAAGGCCCTGAGGGGGGATGCAGTTCAACCCACCCGCGGGGGCCAATGAAACTGCGCTGGGCTGGGGATGGGTGCCAGAAGGGTAGATGAGCTCAGGGAGGCCGCATGGCCCACAGGCACCTCAAGCATAATCCAATCTCAAACCCCCAAGAGGAAGTTTCTGCCACCTGCCCAGAGAGGTTAAGTGAGTTGCCCAGGGTCATATAGCCAGTGTGACTTGGTGGGATTTGAATGCTGTGAGCCCACTGACTCCAAGGCCTCTTGGGTGGTACCTCATAAACTTTTGCAGGATGGGGAATTCCCTGGCAGTTCAGTAGTTAGGACTAGGTGGTCTCACTGCTCTGGGCCCAGGTTCAATCCCTGGTTGGGGAACTAAGATCCCATAAGTCAAAAGGAAAAGAAAAAAACAAACCAAATGAAAAAACAAAATGAAACTTCTCCAAGATGAATGAATCAATGAATGTATGTCTGGTGTGAGACAAGTCAGGAGCTAGGCATTAAAGGTCTGAGGCAAAGGGCCCCTCCCTGTATCCCTCAGGGGAGGGAGGGGTGGAGGCAGATGGGGGTGGTGGTGTCTTTTGCTTCAGCAACAGGGCTTGTTTCCCAGCAACAGGGCTGGGGCGCTCTCTGGTGGTCAGAGTAGGAATGCCTTGGAATCGCCTCTGAGCTTTGAGGGGTGCAAGATGGTGGCTGGAAGACAAGTCCCTATTCCTTACCACTTGACATTCAAGATCCTTTATGCACAGCCTCCAATTTGTAATTCTTTGACACTCTGGCTCCAATACTCCCAACTCTCAGCAGGAATCTCACCTCCATCCCACTCCTATTTATTACTCAAAGTCCTGGCTCTAAAGTCCTCTCCCTTGGGAAGTCTGTCTGTCTCTCCAGGCAGAGCCAAGGGTACCCTAGGGGCTCATCCCCTGGCTCAGTCTCGTGAGGCTGGGGGCGTCTGTAGCCTGCTCTGTGTCCTCCAGTTATGGAGTATTTCAGAGAACCACTTTCATTTCCTGTCTGTGGTTTCCTCTGCTGTGTCCTTGCACCCCAGCAGAGTCTGGCATGCAACAGGAGCTTCATGAATGTTTGTCTAGTGGGTAAGGAAATAAGTACATAATTGTCCTGGAACTAAATTCAGAAATGATCCTGGCCTGATTCATTTTGAGGGGAGGGGTAGGTTTTTTGCCCTCTCCTCACCCTGAGGCATCATGGAAACAAGGCCACACCTTGCTCAGAGTCTCTTATGCCACAACGAGGCATGGGAGAGCAGGCCTCCTTGATCCAGGAATGGGTCTCCGGTCTGCATGCATTCGAAGAATGTTTATGTAAAGCCTGTGTGCCAGGTCCTGTTCTGAGTCCAGCTGGGAACAAGATACAAAAATCCCTTTTGTTGTGGAACTGACAGTTTATAATATGGACCCAAGCACTGTTGCAGAACATGCCTCAATAGGTGGACATTTGAGCAGACTTGAAAGGTGTGGGGGAAGAAAGCCATGCGGGTGTCTAGGCAACGGTGCACCAGGGCAAGGTTACAGCCCGTGCAAAGGCCTGGAGGTAAAAGAGCGCAGGAGCATCCCAGGAGCAGTGAGGACAGAGAAGTGAAAACCAGGTAAGTCAGTCACTCGGTTCAGTCGCTCAGTCGTCGCTCAGTCGAGTCCGACTCTTTGCGACCCCATGGACTGCAGCACACCAGGCTTCCCTGTCCATCACCAACTTCCGAAGCCTGCTCAAACTCATGTCCATTGCGTCGTTGATGCCACCCAACCATCTCATCCTCTTTTATCCCCTTCTCCCGCCTTCAATCTTTCCCAGTATCAGGGTCTTTTCCAATGAGTCGGTTCTTCGCACCAGCTGGCCAAAGTATTAGAGTTTCAGCTTCAGCATCAGTCCTTCCAATGAATATTCAGGACTGATTTCCAAACAGGTGGGTCTTGGCAATAAGAGAAATAATGAGGGAACTAGGGGGGGGTCTGTGCGGGAACTGGTAGCAGTTTTGTAGAAGAGGAGGGGCTTGGCTCCGCCCCGCCCCAGCCCCGCCCTCGGCCTTCCCCTTAGCCTTCGAGCCGGGCCCGCCTCCAAACCCACCTCAGGCCCTGATCCAGGTTGCCCAGGCAGGCAACCGCCCAGCAAGGCCCCGCCCATGGCCCCGCCCCCGCCCAGCTCCGCTCCTAGTTTGCTCCTCGGCGGCCACCGTCACCCGAGCCACCGCCCGCCTCGCGCGCTGCCTGTCCCGTTTCCGCTACCCTTCCCCGCCTCACGCCGTGCGTGCCGTGCGTGCCGTGCGTGAGCGTGCGCGGGCTCGTCGGCCGGCGAGGGAGCAGCAAACGGCCGGCGGCGGGCGCCGCGCGGGGGGCGGGCGGCGTGGAGGAGGCGGCGGTGGCCATGGCCGAGGCGTCACCGCAGCCCGGACGGTACTTCTGCCACTGCTGCTCAGTCGAGATCGTGCCGCGCCTGCCGGTGAGGCCCAGGCCGGGCGGGCGGGGGCCACTGCCTTGGCCCGAGGCGAGTTGGCACGGACGGGGAAACTGAGGTCCCCGCGGAGGGCCCGGAAGTGGCGGCCCTGGTGGCGCAGCGAGGCCGGTGACCGGGAGGGAGCGGAGTCGGCCCCGAGCGCGATCAGCGCTGCGAGCGCCTCGTGGGAGAGAGCCGTC